GCCGGAGCTTCCAAAATCCACATTTGGACAGGGTTTAAGAACCTCTTAGAAAGCCACTTCGTCTCAGCTCAAAGCAGTGATTGTTGAAGCCCAGAAGTACTTACCTATCCGAATACTAGAACACATGTCTCCTTAGCTTCCGCTGGAATGACATTCGCGAAAATCCTGTTTGGAAGCAGCCCCACGCAGGACACAAAGTCGGGTTTAAGATCAAATTATACCCGAGATAATCAAAGCAGGTGAACCACATGGAACACTCATGTGGGGCTATCAACTGCTTCTTCCTGGTATCAAAGCTTCAAAAACCCTATCCCACTTTGACAGTAAACTAGTGACTGGCGTTCCAGCAAAATTGATCAGTTACCTCACATGAATATATAACAGCACGGTGATTTTACGACTCTTTATTGGTCCGTGTGAAACACTTTTATAAACAGACTCAATCTCTAGAATTATCCCATATGAAGCGCACAGTGTTCAAGTTTCAACTTTTGTGCGACCAAAGTATTCGCCGAGTCAATTTTCATTGCGAAGACTTAAGGATAAACTAATATGTTGTCCAGGTGTTCCTCGCAGTAATTGGGTCCATGGTTAGTATTTTTGAATGATACGATTGAGAATGCTCTGAATAGATGGAATGTCACTGGTGCAAAATATGGTAAAACTGACGAATATTTGCTTCCTAACTGCAGTGAATAGCAACTTCTCCAAGCTCACGATAACAGGCAAAATTGACCGTGTAAAGACTTTTGAATGACTCTTTCCTTAGCAGCATGCAGTTTTCTTTGCTAGCGTAGTGTGACCTAACTGTTTTCCGCACGGAACGAAGTACAACTGAGCACTGTTGTCCGGCAATATTTTCAAGGGGAAAGACTTGGTGTCTAACAATAAAAGTCTCACATTTATTGGGGGATTACTCTACCTGGTCACTCAAAAAGAGCACTGTACGTCGATTCAACTTATGATCCCCAGATCCGTACTCTCATATGTGATATTTCGACAGATTTTTAGACTAGCCCGTTCTCATGTAACGTCTGATCGATAGGGATTAGTGTGTGCTAGTTCAGTATAAGTACGATTCTCAAGTCTAGTTAACCACCAAATATTCGCTAAAATAGAACGATAATAAATTGTCCTATTTTTTACCGTTTATTCCTACTTTTTTCGAATACATCCTCAAGCGTGAGCATGACGAATAATTCAGAATGACTCCGTTCCATTTTTGTTCTGCTTTCGTTTTGCCCTTCCCGCTCGGATTCTATTCACACACATACATACATACACACACACCTCAAAACCAATCAGTGAGCGTTCACAGCACAAAGCTGACATGCTACGATTGTCGGAAGAACTCGATCAGCAGGTCCAGATGGCCGAAGAAACCGCAAGGATTCGAGAGCGTGAACTGGCCTTGGCTGAGTTTCAGTCGCAACTTGAAGCGAGATCGGAAAAAATAAAACAACTGGTAGAAAGATTGAAACAACTGGAGGAGGTAATCATAAATTGTAGATCACTTCAGAGAGATCGGGATTAAATGTAAACTTAAGCATATAGTAACCTGTCCAGTATACAATGGAGTAGTTGTAAAAGTGTATAGTTTACAGATGGTGGAACTGGCGTATGAACCAATTTCTAGTACCATGATTCGCAAGTCGATTGAAGGACATATTTTTACAAGTTAAATTCATGCTTCTTGATGGTATCTACCCATAAACAATTATCTTCCTAATCTTCCATATATATTTTTCTCATTTTAATTTGATTCCATCTTAAATCATTGGTGATTCGTGGTGGAAATCGAATCTAAACGTGAACAACAGCGATGCACCTCCACAAATCAAAGCGGTCGGTGTTACCTTGTGGTCCGGCTGATACAGAACAGTATATGTAGTCCCATCGGCAGCATCCTTCCATGGGGTCAAGAACCCCCGACGCTCTGAATCTTTGCATATTTGGATTACATAAAAATCTCCGGTATAAGGTTTAGTCACCTGACGACCAGGATTTTAATCTAATTTGTATTCTGATTCTGTCAGCTTCCCATCGATATTGCAAGTGACTGAATCGATTCAGTTACAAGTGATTTCACAGTCATGTATTTTGCCTCATATGTGCTAATCCATACGACCTTTAAGACAAGATAAGCTATTACAGAATACAATGTAGTGAACAATACTTGTCTCCCAAGATTCGTCTTCTTAAGATATAATATCACAATCTATATTACCCTGATAATATCGGAGGTCGGTTATAGCACGTAGAAAACTGGAATAAACTTGAAAATATAGGTTATGTATACTGTTTCCGATATGGTATCTAGTCTGGATGCGATGTACATAGCGATGGACGAGTAAAAATAGGACAACTGAAGGGCCCCGTGAGGCACTACAGACCTATGCATACGAGGTGGGGAATTATAACTGTGAACTCTCATCGCTCCGGCTGCGGCTAGGATGCGATATTTTATCCTTTTCGCCTGTTTGCCGACCTTGGCAATTCATTTGAAAACGGCTTACCAGCCGAGGTGACATTGTCAGTGCTTGTGAAGTGGCCGTGTTCTGCTTGCACCTGTTCATTTATATGTGTTCTTCTCCACCGACTATTTTTGTTCTTTGTTCTCACTGTCTGTGAATCAGTTTGCCATTGAACTAGTGCGAGCGGGTGATGGGATGGGGGTATTCTTCCGTCTTTATTGCGGTTTCGTTCCGTTCTCAGGTCACTATGTGACTTTTTCTTGTTCAAATTGCTGTTTGGAAGATTTGAAGTTTGTATGTCTATTGTGAGAAGTTCAGTAGCCTCGGTGGGATTCGAACCCACGCATTAGAATTTACCCATCCAACTTACAGAGGTATGTGGCATAGACCAGTTAGCATCTAAACTGATTGCCCGGACAGGTTTTCCTTAGAATTCACCGGAGTCCACCGAGTGAGCTTCTAAGACACGGATAATTGTTCAAATTGTTGTTTGGCAGATTTGAAAAGATCAGTGCTATCAGT